GTACAGCTCTGCAAAATTTGTTGGCGCTTTATAAATGCCAAAAAGTGTAAGTAAACAAAATGGTATTTTAAAGACTGCAAGTTTGGGTTACAATTAGTTGGCAAAGACAGTCAACAGTAATTCCTAAGAATATGTGATTGGACCTTATTTACTACTTAATACTTAATATGCCTCAGTTCCTTGCCTCATTAGCATATAATTAAATTTTACTGTCGTGATTATGAAGCACAAGTGAAATATCTCTCTTCAATGAATGTATCTAACAGAATTAATGGGGGATTATAGTATTGCTTGTTTTTAGCATAACATTTAGAAATTACTTTCTTCCAGCAGTTGAATAGAATGCTCTAAGAGTTTAACAGTTAACACAATTCTAACATAAAATGCATTTTATTTCAATTTGAAAGGGATTATCCTGTATAAATGTATGGCTAATTAAACTTGTAATAGGCACTCTGATTTTGAGTTGGGGAAACAAAGAAAAAAGAATTCCTTCTACTCATAATCTAAAGCACTGTGAATTATACTTAGAGGTATTGGATAGACATCATTGTAAAATGCTCTCAATGTATTATGTCTAATAGAACAATTAACATAATATAAAACAATATATTGTTCTCCAATTTTACATATGTGCATGTTTTTGAGAGTACTTCCCATTACCTAGTACAGTAGATTTAAGCATTTTTCACTAATCTTCTGGATCTTTCTTCCTTTGTGATGAAGCATTGGGATTTTCTAGTCCTTAACTGATTTTTTTTTTTTTTAACCATTCAAACTGCAAAACATAATGTAGACGTCTGTCCCCCATATTTCTAAATTCTTTAGAACACAAATAATTATGTAAACACAACCTGTAAAAAAAGTAAAAAAAGTCTATTAAATTAAAAATATATATTTTTTTCAAGTTTCCATTTCTTATGTGAATACACTGCAAGCAAAAGCAGAAGATGGAAACCTCACAGAGAAGGAAAGAGATCTACTAATGGACAGCCTTGTATTCATTTTTATTTATTTATTTATTATTGTGTACGTCCTTGTTGAGCATAGGAAGAGCTACGGAATTTGTTGGCGCTTTATAAATGGCAATAATAATAATAATAATAATAATAATAAAATTTGAAAAGGTAATTAAAAAAAAAAGGTTATCACAAGACTCTATCTGTGTTGCTCTTGTAATTTTAAGGGCCACATGGGTGCATTAAGTGGTGACAGTACCATACTGCACAATCTGTATGCTCGTTCAAACGTCATGTGACATCTTCCCATGGCAGTGCACCGATTTGCAGCAGGTTCTCCAAGTAGGCCATCAACTCTTTGGGATCTATGTGATTTGGGACTCTAATGTGGATATCAAGAGAATGTTGTTAAATGAGAAGTGCTTCAACTGTATGTACAGTTGTGCTAAAAAGTTTCAATACCTTTGGAGAATTGGTAATATATGTATAATTTTTAATGAAAACATGAGTGAGCAGGCAAAACTAATTTCTTTTATTTTTTATGGGATTCATATTCAACTGTAGTCTATAATAGAATGACATAATATAAAACAAAACATGGCAATAAAGAAAAAAAATGAAATGACCCCTGTTAAAAAGTCTGCATACCCTTAGTTCTTAATTATTATTATTTTATTATTTATATAGCGCCATCAGATTACGTAGCGCTGTACTGTGTATTACCCCCTTTAGCATCAATGACAGCGTGCAGTCTTTTGTAACAGTTGTCTATGAGGCCACAATTCTTGCAGGTGGTATAGCTGCCCATTCGTCTCAGCAAAATCACTCCAGGTCATGCAAACTCTTTGATCGTCTTGCATGAACCGCACAATTGAGATCTCCCCAGAGTGGCTCGATGATATTAAGGTCAGGAGACTGTGATGGGCATGCCAGAACCTTCACCATTTCTGCTGTAACCACTGGAGGGTCAAGTTGGCCTTGTGCTTAGTGACATTGTCATGCTGGAAAGTCCAAGAGCATCCCATGCGCAGCCTTTGTAAAGCAAATTGTATGCCAGTATTTTCTGATAACATGCTGCATTGATCTTGCCATCAATTTTAACAAGATTCCCTGTGCCCCTCCTCCTCCAAAAACATCAGTGAGCCACCACCATGCTTCACAGTGGGGATGGTATTTTCTTTTCAGTATGGGCCTTGTTGACTTGCCTCCAAACATAGCGCTTATGTTTGTGACCATAAATGTTGGTCTCATCACTCCAAATTACAGTGTGCCAGAAGCTGTGAGGCATGTCAAAGTGTTGTCGGGCATATTGTAACTAGGCTTTTTTGTGGCATTTGGTGCAGTAAAGGCTTCTTTCTGGCAACTCAACCTTGCAGCTAATTTTTGTTCAAGTATTGTCGTATTGTGCTCCTTCAAACAACCACACCATCTTTTTCCAGAGAAGTCTGTATTTCTCCTGAGGTTACCTGTGGGTTTTTCTTTGTATCCCGAACAATTCTTATGGCAGTTGTGGCTGAAATCTTTCTTGATCTACCTGACTTTGCTTGGTATCAAGAGATCCCTGAATTTTCCATTTCTTAAGTGATTGAACAGTACTGAATGGGATTTTCAAGGCTATGGATATCTTTTTATTTCCTTTTACGTCTTTATAATGTTCAATTACCTTGTTACGCAGTTCTTTTGACAGTTCTATTCTGCTCCCTATGGCTCAGTATCTAGCCTGATCAGTGAATCCATGTGAAGGTTAACAAACTAATTGATTATTTATACATAGACATGAATGGCTTTATATGATCACTATCCTTCAATAAAATCATTTTTTTTGCACGATCAGTCATATTTTTTTAAATCAATGCCAAAATGTCACAATTTCTGCCAGGGTATGCAAACCTTTGAGCATAACTGTTTATATATATAGATTGTCAGGATGTATGTTTTTTTTCCTCCACCTGATAAAGCCCTGTGTGGCAAAACATGCTGTAGATATGAACTATTTGTCATTTTATTAATAAATGATTATTGACTACTTTGCTATATATGTTGTGCCATATACCTATTAGTATTTTTTATCCTTTTTTTTATTTTATTATTTCCTGGCATCCTGGCCGTCACCTTTAAAGGAACTAAAGAATGTGGGGATTATACCACCAGTGCCTACTAAATAGAGCAGCCTGTCTGCTCTATATATTGTGAGTACTATTTTATTCACTACTATTTCTTGATTTTGAAAATAAAGAGAACACTATTGCTTTGCTTTTTATAATTTTCATGGTCATTCACCTGCTGTGGACATCTACCCTCTATCCTACAAGTGGGGATTTATACCACTGAATGCTGTAAACTAAAGCTGGTCTTAGCTCTACCAAATTAGAGTAAGCCATTTTTATTTGCAGCACAAGTTCAGTTTGTACTCACATAGTGCACTATTAGATTCTTTGTTATGCTTTCTTTTATACATATCAACACAATACTGTCAAGATACCAGAATCTCTACTGTGTTTCCTCTTACAAAAAAAAATACTGGTCACCTGGATATCTTTTATTTTTATTTTATTTTGCTCATTTAAGTAGTATGTATCTTTATCTTCCCAAATAGGCTTTGGACTGCTGATATTAATATATTAATATATATATATATATACACATACACACACACACACATATATATATATATATATATATATATATATATATATATAAATATATATAAATATATAATAATAATTTGCGATTTTTATAGCGCTTTTCTCCCTGTGAGACTCAGAGCACTTTACAAATATACAAACATAAAGACATAAAAGTTAGGAGTGTCTGAAGGTCAGGTGAGCGGATTGAATGCTTGATGGAAGAGATGGAAGAGATAGCTTTTTTTAAAAAGTCTGTAGGGACGGTGTCTCTCTGATTGTGCACGGTAAAGAGTTTCAGAAGGTAGGGGCAGCATGGCTAATTGCCCTGGAACCTGAGTCGGTCTTTATTCTTGGCACTGACGGGAGGGTTTTGCTAGTTAACTGAAGTGAACAGTATGGAATGTAGGGTGTCAGGAGCTCTTTCAGGTACTGAGGGCCTTAATTGTTTAAGGCTTTGAAGGTTAGCAGGCCAAATTTAAAATATGTATATTTAGACAAATGGAGGTAATTTAGTTGCTCCAATGGCCATTGGAAGGAATGCCCGCCTTCCAACGTCAAGGCAGACCCCCCTAAAGTGGGTCCTACACTGTCCCTTCAGCCTGCTTCCTTGAGTTTCTGGCAAAGATATCTCTAATGAGACAGAGAAGAGTATTTTTTATATACACCCCTATACACTTATTAACCCTTAATAAGGAACACATGGGATGGGTGGCAGCATTGTAACAAGGCTGTGTGATACAAAGTAAATACAAATACAAAATGATAAGTCCTGCGCTCACTCCCATCACTACTGGGCTGGCAGCAATGACTGCCACGTCTCTAGCATTAGAGATATGATGGATCCTTGTGGAACTCCGCAGGCCAGCTGTATTGGTGCCAATGAGCTTGATTCTGATGTTACTCTCTGTGATCTACCAGTGAGAAAAGATTTAAACCAGTTAAGGACTGTGCCTCCTAGACCACAGATGTGCTGCAAGCGCTCTATTAAAATCATGTGGTCAATGGTGTCAAATGCAGCTGAGACATCCAAGAGGATTAGGATGGAGTAATCACCTTTGTCTCTCGCCAGGAGATCATTTAGCACTCGGACTAGTGCTGCTTCAGTGCTGTGGCGGCATCTGAAACCTGACTAGAAAGAATCAAAGATGTTCAAGTTTGATAGATGGGCCTCCAGTTGAGTTGCCACTACTTTTTCAATTATTTCCCACAGAATTGGAAGGTTGGATACTGGTCTGTAATTAGCCATGCAGTCTGGGTCTAATACAGGTTTCCTTAGGAGTGGTTTTACCACTGCTTCTTTTGGAGGATCTGGGAAGTCTCCAGTTTTTAGTAAACATTCAAAGATTGGGGTTTGTGGACTGATATTGGTCTGGGATTTAAGGATGATTTTGCACAGATCATAACTCCACCTCTCTTGTGATCTTGTCTCAAGCGGTGGAACACCGTGTAATTGACTGGAATAGCTGCCTCTAGAATAGGCCCCGGATTTTCATCTAGCCATGATTCAGTAATGCACTCTAATTCGCATGTTTCAATAAGGTCGGTAACAATAGCTGTTTTGTTCCTTATTGATCTGGCATTGCACAGGATTGATAGGATAGTCTTGGGATTCTGAGCCTTTGCTCTGTACTTTGGAAACAGTGTGTCTTCTAGTGGGGATCACACAAAGAGGTTACCTTGAGGTTTTTGTGGCTTCTAGGTTGAATCAATTCAATGGGGCTTGCAGGTAGACAGGGTGGTGGAGGAGCTGTGATAGTGTCAGGAGATTGAACTAAGTTTTGATTTTCCTCCACGACAGCCCTTATCAGTCTCTTTGAAGATTCCAAGTGATTTTAGGGTAGCCACTAGTGAGAGACTGAGTGCAGCAACCACTTTTTGGGGTCTTAGGGAATACAGATATGAGGGAGTATAGGTGATCATTCCTTTAGCAGTGATGGAGTTATAAAATAGCTTCTAGTTTTATATATATATATATTTTCTTTTTTGTCCCTTTTTTTTTATGTGTTACTATGTATCATATTATGTAAAGTTGTATTTCCATTGGGTTTTATCGTCTGCTATATTTTGTGGCGCATCCTGTTTATTTTGGTTTTTATTATATTATTGATGTGGAATCAATCAATAACTTGATTATCTTGCGTATCTGCCCCCGGCCAAATTAAAGAAGTAATGCTGTACCATTGTGATGATCTGTATGGAATAATAAATACTTTTTTTCCCCTTGAGCCCTGCACTCGCTGTCTCCTGGTCATACCTTGGCTCCGGCCTATAAAATCCGTGACAGAGTGCACTCAGAGGATATGGTAAGTATTTTCTAAAAGAAATCAGCTAGATTGAGTAGTTAGAGATAAATCATGTCAATGTTTCATTCCATTGGCTGACATTTTGTAACTATTAACTATTGTATAACTATTGCATGTACGTGGTTTAAGCTGCATAGAAACTTGAGCCAGTTCTGTCTTTTTGTGTGAGTAACTGCTGTGCACTTCTGATTTCAAGCCAGACTAATATTAATATTAAGGATGGGAAACACCTAATGTCCTACACCAAGGCCCCCACTCATTGGTCGTGGGTGGGGGTCCTATTTATAATATTTGGGGGAAGGACCTAGTGTTTCCACCCATGGACTTTGGTTGAGGGCTCTATTAATTAAATGAATGATATACATACTGTTATCCAATCCCCCTGGGAGTTCCCCAATCCCCCAGGCACTCCCCTAACAAAAATTAAAGTCCCTACCTAATCTCATCTAATAATAGTGAAAGGGGGCAATAAATCTAAAACCTGTTAAAAAAAATTATACTTACCATCAGAGAATAGTACGTACAATGATCATTCACTTCACTTGTATGATATCAAGTGAATGATAATTTGCAAATGTGCATCCTGCCGGACGTATTCAGTCCCGAGTTTTGTTAAAATCAGTGCTATGCAAAAGCCCCCATTTAATCTGTACATATCCAGTCAATTTCTACAGATATGCTCTGGCTGACTGAATTTGGCTTTGGTATGAAAAATGCCAATGTAGTTGGAATTCATCCATTGGGACAAAATCCGGAGTTTAGTGAGTAGCCTTGAATGTTTCAATCACTCCTCTTCATTGGCAATGTATGTCCTAGAATTGCCTTATCTGAACTGAATTTATTGATATAAATGTAATTAAAAAAAAGCATTTTATTAAAAAAAAAAAAAGGTTAAAAACACCTTATACATGATTTTCAACGGTTTATTCAATGGCATTTTATTCAATGGCAGTGACAGTTCCATTTTAATGATGAAATTGTTTAATTTACCTCCTTCATTCCCTCATCTATTACTGTCAAAATTTTTTAGGAACTACCATTTGATGGTGTCTATGAGATGTATCCTATTATAATGACATATATATATATATATATATATATATATATATATATATATATATATATATATATATATATATATATATATATATATATATATATATATATACATATATATATATATATATATATATACATATATATATATATATATATATATATATAATTATTTAGAGAGAACACACATAAACTGTGCCTTATTGAGGACTCTATTTAACCCCTTAAGAACACATGATATGTGTGACATGTCATGATTCCCTTTTATTTCAGAAGTTTGGTCCTTAAGGGGTTAAAGGAAGACTCCAAGAACAAAGCACCTCAGCTTGCTGAAATACTTTATGAGTGTCGGGTGTCCTTTATTTAAAATTGATAAAAGACCCGATTTCAATAGAAACCCACACTTCTATAAATTACTGCTATAACATGTCCCTGGCTGTCAATTACACAGGCCAGGAGGAATTCTTGCACTTTTATTAGCTCAACTGAACTAATGGAAGAGACAAGTGCACATGCTAAAAGCATGCCTGCTAATACTTCTCAATGAGCTGTATTCTGCCTCTCTAGGTCTCTCTGAGTCTCTAGCTCAACCTTATCTGATCTCTGTGGCAGAACCACCCTAGCCACTGTGCACTGGAGAAGCTTGGTTGCCCATCTGCTGCCTTTAGACTATTGCACCATGTTGAAACGCTTTATTTTCCCCTGCGAAGACACGAAAGCCGGGTCATTCGGTGCTGGCCCTGTTTGAGCGGTGATACCCCAGATAGCGATGCCATGGAGCCCATTCGTATAATGAAAGACTATGGGAAAGACTTTGGCTCCATGGCAATTGAACTGTATGTGTGTGCTCTGAGTGCCATTCAGTAATAATGTGCGCTCAGATCTGAGCTATCTGGGGATATGTTGAATGTACCTGTTTTGTGCAATGGCTGCACAGTTATATATTTTATGTGTTTTATTGTCTTTTGCTGCCATGTGTTCAATGGAGTTTTGCCTTTGTCCTTGGAGATAATTGGATTACTTCCTAATTATCTCCAGGATAGAAGACGATGTGGAACTGGTTTTGGGCAGAAAAGCCATGCTTCATTTGATCACAAAGGACTTTGATCTATCTTTTGAACCAATGGACCAATTTGGATGATTTTGACATATGTTTGTATTTGGAGTATGCTGATTCTGAATGTGAATGTGATGCATACTTTTCAAGTTATGAATAATGTGGAAAAACTGTATTTCTCTGCCGGTGATAATTACATTACCCATTGTGTAAGGTAATTGTATGACAGGCAGAGGGGAGGATTTTGTGTGGGAGTGTCTGAGTGTATTGTATGTGTTTATTGGTTGTTTTCCAAAACCCTGTGGGTGGTACTAATGTATATAAGAACAATAAACCCACAGCTCTGACTGTTCCTGCTTAACCCTCAAACGAAGTGTCGTCTCGTTATTGGGGGAATTGGATTGTATGCTGACTGCCAGGAGTGTAAACCTTTCGTATGGTTTTTCCTGTTCAGCTGTTTCCAGTATTCGTGTGTTTCCTGTTTGGGAGTTGGAGAATTCGTGTAGTTTGCAGTTCAGGAGATTGGTGATTGCAGTAGCTGTCTGTGCATCTGAAAGGGGAATTGTGGGCAAAATGGTCCGTTACAATCTCATCTTCAGCAGTGTTCCTGCTATGACAATTTTAGCTTTCTAGTACATATTGCTGCTGCCTCTGCTATGAAACATGCCAGCCACTCCTCTCTTACTATTATCACTGCACTGTCATATTGCTAGCTACAGAGACAATAAGGGGTCTGTTAGTAACCATATGCAATACTTTACCAGTGCATTATTTTCACTAGATTGATTAGTGCAAAGTAAAATTAATCAGAGCTAGAAAGTTACTTAACCCCTTAAGGACGCATGACATGTGTGACATGTCATGATTTCCTTTTATTCCAGAAGTTTGGTCCTTAAGGGGTTAAAGGGTTAATTCAAGCCTTTTTTTTACAGATTTTTTGTGTTATTTGTCATAATATCCTATTTGGCATATTTTTTTTAAGTATCCTACATTTAAAAAACAATAATTTACAATAATGCTACAAAATAAGGTTTAAACTAACCTGAAATCCAGGTCCCAGTGTGACTTTTCATTCCCCATCTAGCATCACCAGTGCTGTCACGAGGTCCAATTAAATACTTCTAATAGAGAAGTGTTTGATTGGACTGTTACAACCGCCCAGTGTGCATGCACCTGCTCTGAGCCGGTGAGGGGGAAAAAAAGAAGGAGGGCACATTGAAAAATAAAACAAAAAAAACATTTAATAAGCAGTTGAAAGAGTGAAGCATACTTAAAAGAGTGAAGGAGAGGGTGGATAAATGCATTCTCAGAATTTCAGGCTGCCCAAGTCATGCTCGGTCATTGTGCATTTCGGTTACTCCGTGATTCGGATATATTTCGGCTTAGAGCTTGTGAACTGAACCAATCAGCCAATCCAAAATTCAGATGAATTGCAGATCAGACAAAATGAATCTCTAAATCTATAGTAAACCTTCTTACATATTTGCCAAATTAACTCATTAAGGACCAAATGTTCCCCCCTTGCTGGCAACACAATGCAGCCACCAAAGACCTCATACCAGCAAGGAACCTGTTGTTATGTAGCTTTTACAACTGAATGCAGCACTGCAGTAGATAATTGAGTGAACTATTACACAGTTTTTTAACCTGTGGTATGTGTAACCCAGTTTATATGTGCACCAGATGAAGGGGGTACGTCGGGAGGTGGTGGCTGTGTGCTGAGGAAGAGTAGGCACCTGCACACTTGGACAAATGTGCTGCATCTGGAGTGAAGAATGAAGGTGGGCAGCGAGGGAGCACTGATGTCTGTGATCTTTCAGTCTGTGCTCTTTGTGCACCTTGCAGTGATGCTGGGAGCTGGGTTATGACATCACTCTGGATGTCACTAAACAGTGCATGTGAAGGGCCAGTGCTGGAGGAGCAGGTATATGATGGAAGCCACGCTAGAGCCCCAGGGAAAGAATCCCAACTGAACCCCAGGGAAAGTATCCACTCCAGTTCTCCCAAAGGCAGGGAGGCTGGGTGGACTTAAATAAAAATTATATAAAAAATAATAAGTTTGTGAGTGTGTGTGAGAGAATGTGTATGTGTCAAGCAGGGAATGTGTGTCTGTCAGTGTGTGTCAAATCAATGAGTGTGTTTGTCAGTGTCCTCTGTGTGTAAATGTGTGTGCATGTCAGTTTTCTTTGTGTGTAAATGTTTGTGTCAGTAACTTCTGTGTATAAATGTGTGTGTCTCAGTTTC